TTTCAGATGCTCAAGTCAGGCCCAGCGTCACTCTGTCTTCCCACTGCTGCCTGCCAATCTAGATGTGGCACTCTTGGCTCCTTCTCCAGCATCATGTCTGCCTGTGCGCCACCATGCTTCCCAGCATGACGCCGTGGACTAAACCTCTAAACCTGTAAGGCAGCTCTAATTAAATGTTTTCCTTTATTTGAGTCACTGTGGCCATGGTATCTCTTCACAGCAATAGAAACCCTAAGACAATAATACTTAGAAAGTATACTTCTATGTGATAGACACTATTCTAAGTGTATTGATTCATTTAACACTCACACAACCCTACAAGACAGCATTTACTTAGTAGTCTTATCTTCATGCTGTGGATATAGAAAAGGAAAACATTAAGGCACTGTTGTAGAATATTATTTTAAGATGTGTTACATTTGTTTATGCTGTGGAACATTTGTTTAGTGATGTAAAGGTGTGTTGTATTCCTTTATGTTGCATTTGTTTAACTCTGTGAACCTGTGTTACTTTGCCTGTCTAAAACACCTGATTGGTCTAATAAAAAGCTGAATGGCCAATAGTGAGGCAGGAGAGGGATAGGTGGGGCTGGTAGGCAGAGAGAATAAAAAGGAAGAGCAATCCAGGGAGAGGGAGAAGAAGGAATGAGAAAAGGAGGAGAGGAGGACTCCAGGGGCCAGCCACACAGCCACACAGCCACACAGCCACCCAGCCACACAGCCACCCAGCCACATAGCCACACAGCCACACAGCCACACAGCCACACAGCCACACAGCCACACAGCCACCCAGCCACCCAGCCACACAGCCACACAGCCACACAGCCAGACATGAAATAAGAAGGAAAGTTGAGAGCTGGGTGGTGGGCCTCCAACAGAGTAAAGAGTAAAATAAACAACTACAAGGCACAATAAGTTAAGAGCCTTACCTGAGGTTAGACCAGTAACATGAGCATTCTGACTACAGAGCTCATGTTATCAGCTACCACACTCCTGGGCTGCCACCACAACCACTGAAGACTTTGCTAGTAGCAGGGATTGAACCTAGGGCTCATGCATGCTAGGCAAATGCCCCATCATGTAACTATAACTCTAGCTCTCCTTTCTTCAACCTTTGTTTTCAGACAAGATCTCTCTATGCTTCTCAGGATAGTCTCTCAAACAAGCTCACTCTGTAGCCCAAGCTAGCCCTGAACCTGTTATCCTCTTGCCTCAGTGTCTTAAGTAACTAGGATTACAGGCCTGTGCTGCCAGGCCTGGCTTTTATAAAGTGTAAATTGCACACACTAAATGACTGTTGTAGCCATTTAAAAACATGTTATGCAGTGGTGTGTTGTCAGCATCCCCGCCAGTCACCCATGGAACTATTTATCTTGTGAAACTACAACTCTGAGCCAGGTGTGGAGACTCATGCTTTTAATCCCAGCACCCGGGAGGCAGAGGCAGGAGGATCTTTGTGAGTTGGAGGCCAGCCTGGGCTACAGAGTGAGTTCTAGGACAAGCCAGGGCTACACAGAAAAATCCTGTCTAAAAAACCAAAACAACAACAACAACAAAACCAAACCAAAACACACACACACACACACACACACACACACACACACACACACACACACACACAAAACCCACCACCACCACCAAACTAAAACTCTGTGCTCAGTAGATAATAACTCTTCACTGCTTCCTCCTTCCAAGCCCATTGTTTTGATCATGTATCGCATATAAGTGGAATCAAACAAGATGCATCTTATAGCAGGCTTATTTCACTTAGCACAATGTCCTTGGTTCAGCTGTGCTGTCTTCATCCCGTGGCTGACAGCAGGCAGCGAGGAAGGAAGGGAGGACAATGGGAGAAGCGTGTGTGGGAACCACACTTAACCCACTCTGGCTTCCCCACTCAGCAGCAAGCAGATCAGGTTTCCATGTCTCTGTTTGCTTCTGCCCACACTGAGAAGTAATTGCTTTCTTAGGATCTACTCACCCCAAGGTATGGTGTAGCTGTTTCCTTCAGATTGAAACATCCTCTTCTGGAGAGAGGATGGGGCTGAAAAGAACCCAGAAGCTGGAGAAATGTATCACCCTCAGGAAGCTCACAGCACAGCTTAGAAAGTTGTGGGACTCCTGAGTCCCCTTGCTGTGGTTATAGAGGGGGTAAGAAACTGGGGGGGGGGGCTTTTCAGTGCAGCTGCCTGCAGCTGTACAGGGAATTTAGTGTTGCAGCTTTAGTCAGTGGCCACCCATGCTGCATGGATGTTTGGTGGTGCCACTGCCTTTAAGCCACCACGTGACCCCACTAAATTCCTTGTTAGAGTTTACCAAGCTAGACTGCCATATGTGTGTGTGTGTGTGTGTGTGTGTGTGTGTGTGTGTGTGTGTGTGTATGTGTGTGTGTGTGTATTATATGTATACATCATATATACAATATAAGATATTGTTTTATATATAAATTATATATAGTTATTGAAATAAATGATAAACAGCACTGGTGGCGGCTCTGGTTACTGCGTGGAAAGGTCATGGTCACGACAGAACCCAGTATTAGTTTTAGAGCTTTATTAGGAGGAAGAGGGGTGGGGGAGAAGAACCAGGCCTGGGACAGGAGCATGTGCAGAGGGCAGAGAGAAAGATGGTGGGGGGGGGGGGGGAGAGCAGAGCAGAGCAGAGAGAGAGAGGGGGGTGGGGTGGGGCCTGCGTCTGGCTTTTTAAGGGTTCCCAGTGAACACGCACAGGTGGACTTATGGAGCTACACCATGCATGCACTGATTGTATGACCACGCCGCACAGACGTAGTTGCCAGTGCACACTGATGACATAAGATGCAAGATCTTTTGCTTAACTCCTGAACTGCGCATGTGAGGTCATGCAGCTGGAGTGAGGGCAGAATTCTAACAGTTATAAATTAATATAATTATATAATAATATATAATATATATTATGAATAGATATTTGTTCACTTATCCCCTGAAAAATGTACTCAGAAAAATTGGTACCCAGTGAAAAATAGATAGAACACAAATGGGTTGGGTAGGAGCAGTCACATAGATTATTCGATTTACAAGCCTTTCTGCCAAGACTGATGCACCTGAGGGTGGAGCATCTCAGGCTTCCTTTGCATGTGGTATGGGACAGTATGCCTTTTTGATGTAGTGGCAGTTGTGTGTCTCCTGCTGTGGGCAATAAGCTATCCTAAGGTGGAGCAACCTGGGGCTGGGATGGGGTGGTCCAGGCTGGCCATCTTCCTCTACGTAATGTAGGGTGGTATTGTAAAACACTTCCTCTGGGCATAGCATGACCATGGCTATCTTGAAATGAAAAGAGCTGTGATTACTTCCTCATAGGCTTGGGCCCACTAATATTCCATCATAAAGAGGCATGAGTAGTTTGAGAGAGTACAGTAGATGCATGAGGCCGAATCCCTCTCTAAGAATAGATGAACTGTTGCTGGTTGTTGAAGGGGAGACATTTTCTTTAGTGGCATGCCTGCCCATAAGTTGCCCTTACTGCTGTGGGTAAGCTCTCACCTGTGCTAGACTAGGGTGGAATCATTTCTTTTGTTTATTGTTGATGCCTTATCTGAGCTCAATAAATGATGGATATAGCAATCTCCTAGAGCAGTCATTTTGAGCTGGGATTCTGAATACATTGTGGCAACAGTTGTGTGACTTTGCTGTGGGTCATCAGAAATGCAGCTGAGGGTAGGCGGTCTGTCCAGGAGAATTTGCCTGAATGAGAAGAAGTGAGAGCAAAAGAGGTGATGATATTATTGTCTTCATTAGCCTCGTATTTGACAGAAGAAGTGGAGGGTGAGGTGGAGGCATCACCCTGCTGTTTCTTACAGCTGGTGGGGTGCAAGGAAAAGGTAATCTAAATTAGATCTGTGCTATAGCTTTTCCTGGAATCCCCAAACTTGAAACTCATGAGAAGCATCAGACAGTCGGGGACAGGGAGTGGCAAGAGTGAGGTAGGAATGATAGAAGCTACCCTATAGGTCCAATCATTAGCGCAGAGGAGGAGAAAGCTCACTTTTCAACATGCAGATGGGGACCTTCATAATGGCCTAGTATGGGAGGCCATGATGATCAGAGAATGTGCCGCATCTGAGCTGTTTGGATTGGGAAGAACTTGTAAACAGGAAATGAAAACGCCTTCACAGCCAGCTGGCTCATGAGCCTGTGGGACACCGGGGTGAATGAGATCAGTCTGAGGGCTGTGGAAGCAGGAACAGTAGCATAGCTACCCATTGCCCTTTAGACAGAGGCAGAATGATCTGGGATTAGTCTCTGAGGGACTGGTTCTTATGAGCCATTAGGGACACAGGGTTAATGCTAGCCGAGATCCCTACAAGTATCAAGGTCTGGAAGACAGCAAAGGAAAGGTAGGCATTACTGAGGGGCCTTAGTATGGATGAGCCATACCAAGCTCTCACTGAGCCAGATAGAAGTGGTCAGATGAAGCTAAGCAGCAGGGATCTTAGGACTGGTGTGGGGCCGGGTGGCTCTGCTGAGCCCCGTGGTGGGTCTTTACAATGCAGAGGCTCTGACAGATCTGAATGATTTAGACCGGCATGTAAGTTGGGCTTATCAGGAAGATGTGAACAATAAGGAAAGCAGACCATGGGGCCTGCCTGGGTCACCTGAATGCAAAAGTGACAGGATTTGTGTTGAGCCTGGGCAGGAGATGGGGATGACAGGAAGCTACATACTATCCAGGTGAGCCCCAGAAGGGGTTTTAAACCTTGAACAATACTTCACTAAAGGTGTGTATGTGGTGGGTAGTGAATGAGGGCTGGACAGATAGCTCAGCTGGGGAGCCAGCACCGGTGACAGAAAGAACATGGCTTGGACACTCTAGGCTGGCCAAGCAGTGTAAGTCAGCCTTGTGGAACTCATTGGATACAGATGGATGCATAACGGCCCCACAACGGAGGGCGGGTGGTGGCGCGGACACAATGACAACGGACCCAGGATAAGGAGATGAAATGACTCATTGAAAATTATGGTGGATTATTGTGGTGTTTTGAATAAGAATGCCCCCCACCCCAGGTCCTTATATTTGAATGCTTAGTCATCAGGGAGCGGCATTAACTTGAGAAAGATTAGGAGTTGTGGCCTTGTTGGAATGGTTGGAGGAAGTGTGTCACTGGGGGTGGGCTTTGGGGTTTCAAAAGCCCAAGCCAGGTCTAGTCTCTCTCTTCCTGTTGCCTGCAGATCGGATGTAGAATTTTCAGCTACTTCTCCAGCACCCTGTCTGCCTGCACACCACTGTACTCCCCGCCATGATGATAATGGACTAAACTTCTGAAACTGTAAGCCAGCCCCAGTTAAATGCTCTCTTTTGTAGGAGTTGCGGTGGTCACAGTGTCTCCTCATAGCAATAGAATGCCGACTAAGATGATCATGGAGAGCTGGAGGAGATAGTGTTCCTCCATGCATGCTGCTGTACCCAACACGGCTCATTGACATGACAACAGATGTAAGCGGTGACATCTCCCATGTGGCCTTGGGGCTTGCTAACGTTTTATTTTAACTGTGCCCTTGACTGCTGACTCTCAAGACCAATTGGCACTTGTTTGGAACAGATGGTAGTGGGCCTTCAGAGCGGCTGTCTATCTTCTATAAAAAGTTTCATTATATAATGCTAAACCTTGAATATCTTACAGATTTGGAAAGGCATCTGGAAGAACCATAAAAAAAAAAAAGCAGCAATTAAAGAGCTTGAGTGAAGACACTGTGGGTGGAAGAGGCACACCCAAAAGCCGTAAGGTTACTGAATAGAGTCTTAGTGCAAGAGGTCGGTTACCACCCTGTAAGTCATTGGCCGGGGAAGCCTCTGAGGTCCCATAAATGGTATTGCCACTGCAGTTGGTTGCCTTCCAGAACCAAATGGCAAGTTCTTATTGTTGAAGACACCAAACACTTTGGCTGAAGGACAGAGGGAAGCGAGGATGGGGCTGATCTGGAAACTCACTCCCCGACTGCCAGGGGGGGATTGTCGACAGTCCTGCCGTTATTGACCCTGCAGGCTACACTACCAAGATACCAGGTAAGATGTGGTGCGACAGTGACGCAGTCTTTATGGGCGTGGCTCACTGCTTGCACAGGAGAGCACTCACTTTTTTTTTTTTTTTTTGGTTTTTCGAGACAGGGTTTCTCTGTGTAGCTTTGCGCCTTTCCTGGTACTCGCTTTGGAGACCAGGCTGGCCTCGAACTCACAGAGATCCGCCTGGCTCTGCCTCCCGAGTGCTGGGATTAAAGGCGTGCGCCACCACCGCCCGGCATCACTTTTAGTACTTTATAAGTCAGGACAAAAACTTGTGGCCAGAGAAGCTCCTGGCTCCAAGGTCCGGAGAAGCTATTGCTGCTGTTAAATGCATATGATATGCCTATCAAATGGCCTTCTAAACATTTATGCTTATATCCATAGATTACTGTTGCTATCAGCCTTAGTTATGGACGGGAATTTTTTTTTTTTTTTTTTTTGCTGTGGGTGGTGGTTATTGTGGAAACGTAAAACTAGCTGTTAAGAATAAGTGACAGGCTGGGCAGTAGTGGTGGTGCAAGTCTTTAATCCCAGCACTCAGGAGGCAGAGGCAGGCGGATCTCTGTGAGTTCGAGGCCAGCCCGTAAACAGAGCGAGTTCCAGGATAGCCAGGGCTACACAGAGAAACCCTGTCTTGAAAAAAAGAGTAAGTGACAATTGCTGTGGTCTAGTGAGGTGGCAGAAAATAACCACCTGTCCTGGTTAGTTTTTTGTCAACTGGACACAAGCTAGAGTCAAGTGGGAAGGAACCTCAACTGAGAAAACGCCTCCATCCATCAGTATTGCCCATATGCAAGACTGCAGGGCGCCGTCTTAATTGCTAGTTGATTGGGAAAGACCCAGTCCACTGTGGGTGGTGCTGCTCCTGTTCTGAGCCGCGTAAGGGAGTGAGATAAATGATCTGTGAGGATCAATCCAGTAAGCAGCATGCTGCCATGGCCTCTGCTTCAGTTCTTGCCTCTGGGTTCCTGTCTCGAGTCCCTGCTTTGGCTTCCCTCAGGGGTGGACTGTGATCTGTGAGTTACAAGATGAAATAATCCTTTCCTTCCCAAGTTGCTTTCGGTCATGGTGTTATATCACAGCAATGGAATCCCTAACTAAGACACCACCTGTCTAGATCAGCCCCTCTGAGGCTCTGGGGCCATCGTTGAAGAGGAGGTTAAGACAGACAGACAGACAGACAAACAAACAAAAGAGCAGGAGGAAGGGGCAGAGTGTTGTCTATATTTCCTCTGAACTGAAATACTTCTTCCTGGAAAGAGGGGGCGGTGTGCTCATAAGATATAGAAAGCTAATGAAAGGTGTAGTTTATGAAACCTACAAGGTACAAAAAGCCCAGAGAGTCATAAGACCCATGAGGCCCTTTCCAAGTATATACAAGCAATCACCAATTGCCAGGAAAGGTGGATACATAGGACAGACAGAGCGTCCATGCATCTGTCTGAATGCTGTGTGGAGAACTTCAATGAAGCCTCATTCATGTATTACATCTATGCTGGGAGTGGGCTTTTTTGGGGATACAGCTGTCTTCCAGTCACCCATGCACCCACAAGCCACCCCAATAAACTCATTGGATCAGCAATCTAGACTCCGATGGAGTCATTTCTTTGGTTTGTCCTTGGTGCCCTATTTGTGTCAAAGGGACATTTGTTCACATTTTCCGGGGAACAGTCACACAACACTGGGCCAGAGACTAGAGGTGTGGCGGTCTTAGTTGGATTCTTATCAAGCTGTCCAGGAAGTCTATGCCAAAGATTTCTCACGGCTGTTTAATGATGGCAACCACAGTGGTGAGAAGTAACAGTAACACAGTAACAGCAGCACAGTAACTCGGACCAATCCATCTTACATTGTCAGCCCATCTTGTATCTGTACAGCTCATGTTAGAACTGACCGATTTCCTACCGCAGTGGTTTTAGGAATGGGCAAAGAAGATAAAGTCCTTTCAGATCCTTTTCTCCTTGACTCAGCCCTTAGTGATCTGGACTCTCGAAGGGAGAGCCTCTTTGGCTGAATAATACATCTGAGAACTGAATCGACGGTCTGGCTTCCCTCAGTGGAATGCATGTCTCCCTGGGGTTGTGGGAGCTAGCACACCATACTTCCTTCTGGGCACTCTGCAATGTGTGTGTCTGGGTCCTTGGTCGCTGCAGGAAATACCGGAGTCGTGTTCAAGGAGGCTCTTGCCCTTGTGTCTGACTTTGAGGGATCAGGCAGTGGGCAGGTCTAAAGGGAAGGAGCTTTTGGATGTGGCGGACAGCAGTGTTACATCTCAGACTAGAATGAAAAAAGACAACAGCAAAGAGAAAGTCAGATGACCCGAAAATGACAAGCAGTGACAAGGTCAACATTATCTTCCTTTCCTAAGATCATTTTGCTCGTCTGCTCTCCCCTCCAGAGGCCAAGAAATTTCAGAACCTGGTCCACACTATTAGCATCTTCTTCGTGGAATGGGTCCAGCATTGCTCTAGTGGTAGAGAATGATAAAGCTCGGGGTTCTGCACCCTAAGGTACTTGTATTCCACAGATATTGCTAACCTAAGGAATCTCAGCTTTAATAGAGAGATTTCAGGCTGTCAGCTTGCTGGGAGGGAAATGTTTTGGGGATGGAAAAGGTTGTCAGAGCTATTTAAATCAAATCTAAGGAGGATGCATGCCCTCGGGGTAGACGTATGGAGGGAAGATTAGAATCCCCGTGGGGTTACAACACTCACCTTCCGCACATTGTAGACCCAATTGAGATAGGCAGTGACCTTGGTGTACACTCCAGGGGTACTTGGGCTCCCACAGCCATGGCCCCAGCTCACAATGCCTACCACCTGCCACTGGTCAGAGTGGTACATCAAAGGCCCGCCACTGTCACCCTGTGAAAAGCCAGGACAGGAGCTGCTGGGGAGGGCAGGCCAGGCTAAGGGTGGCCTTCTTCTTCCTCCTGTCCCTGAACTGGCCCATCTGTTCCCCTGCATTCTCCATGGCTCTGTGCATGCTGACTTCTCTACCCTCCTTCTTGCTCACATTATTCAGCGCTCTTTACTCTTAAGGAAAAAAAAAAAAAAAAGGCCCATTGGTGGGCAACTAAGTTGAGGGCAAGCTGCCTGTCTTATCAGAGGGTCGTAAGTCACACTAGCAAATAGAATTTTGTTTAGTCCGGCAGTTCCTACATCTATTGAACCACTAACGGAGTGCCTGGTTATGTTTGGGCCTGTTTCAGATAACCGAGGTTCAATTAACTGGGAAAAAGATCCTCACCCCTGGGGAGTTTATGATCAAATAGGTTGGCAGAGCCAATAAGTGAGCAGATGACAAAATGAAGTGGTGAAAAACACACTCACTGCCTCTCTCCGGGCTCAGTAATTCTGCAGCCTGCTTGCCTGCTTGCATATTCTCTCTGTGGCCACCATGAGTTCCTGGAGGGCAGACACTGTCTCTAAATCTGCTGTTCATGGCCTCCAAGAGATGGCTGAGACAGCCAGCTCTTGAATGAGTGTTTTAGCGTCTGGAGATGGGAGTAGGCTGAGAGGTTTGAATAAAAATGGCTCCAAAGATTCTCCAGCGGTATGGGGTGGTAAGAAGGTACGTAGGAGCGGCTTAGAAGTCCTGGTGGCCATGGAGACAGGAGAGGGGACATGTACCAAAGCTCACCTAGCATGAAATGCTTTTTCAGGTGTAGCAGTGTAGGGGTAGTCACAGAGGACATAGACCTGGTCATTGTCCTCAAAGGGATCATAAATGATGGGAAGTGAGGGTGGAGAAGGTCGTAATGCCATCTTTATATGTGAAATATACATGCAGATTCTTCTGCTCACCTAGCTCCATCTATCCATCTACCCACCCATCCATTCTTCTATCTTTATCAGACTATGTTCCTGCCTTCCTTTACCATACACAGACCACTACAATCTGCAAGGCTTCGTGTGGGCACGCAGTTGGTAGATTTTCACATCTCTCTGGGACCTACACCCCTATTCACAGAACTCCCCACGGTCTTTGGAGGACCCACCTGGCAGGTGTCCACGCCACCTTGTGGGACACCTGCACACAGCATCTCCTCGGTGACTTCTCCCTGGTAGGCATCCTCTGCGTTGCACCGTGTGCTGTCAATGACCTGGACTGATGCCTGTAGCAGTACGTCAGACATCTCCCCTGGGAGGTTGAAAACACATTTCCTTGTCCTTTACCCTCAGCCCAGACTAACTCTCTGGGCCACCAACATTCTTTGATGGCCGGAATTTTGATACATGGTCAGCCAGGGTGGGCTTCTCTAAAGGATGTTCCTCTTTCTTATGACTAATGGGAGAGGGTGATAAGATATCCTCAGGCAAGGTCTCTGAGGTCCAGAGCCCAAGACTCACCTCCATTTTGCTCTGTAAAGCCCCATCCAATGACCCAGAGTGGTGTGGCTGGGATGAGCTCTTCATCATAGAAGGGCAGGCAGATGGGCCTGACGGTGTCTGTCAGGAACAGAGAGGGAGAGGGAGACCCTATATTAGGGTTGTTTTTTCATTTTCTATATTTTGTGCTTTTCCATCTTGGGGGTCCTGCTGGTCTAAGTGAGACTAGATTAGCTAATTCTTAGAGAGAACCAGTCACTTGTCAGTGAGGCCCTTAATATCTAAACTAGTTAATCTGGAGCCCACACTCTTGACCTCACTCACCATCGCCCCAACTCTCACAAGCCAAGCCAGTGTTTTTCTCTACCCTAAATCACCCCAGGTCTAGATCCTAAACCTCTGGAGATCAGTCTCTGCAGTGTAGACAACTATCCTCGTTTTCCAGTTCCAAGCATGCTCAAACTTGCCTACCCAACCTTCCTCCTGCGGTCTGGAGCCACAGGCACCACTTGGGCTGTCCCCTGCCCCTCCTCCGCCCTTTCTATCTTCTGCTACACGCACATGCACACACACAAACACACACAAAGAAAAGCCCAGGAAATACTAGGTTCCTTGTTCCTGGAGGAACAGAAGCAGAAACACAGTGACCTTTGGCAGGGTTACTGTACAAGGTCTTGAGCACCGATCAGGGGTAAGACACGGACTAGGCAGTTCTTTTAAAAAGGCCCTAACAACTCCAAAATCAGATGACCGGGATCTTCGAAATGGAGCAAACAGATCTGGAAGAATCTCTGCCAGGGAAAGGTGTGAATGTCAGCTGACAGCCAAGGCAGGTCCCAAGGCACCAGAGACGTCGAGATAATACATTAGTTGGACACCCGGGGGCAAGCTGAGGTCTTGAGAAGGAACGTGATGTGTCCAGCTGCTTAGCAGAGTGGGAGTAAGGATAATCTGAGGGGCTCTGTTCCCAGGGACCACCTCTCACCTGAGAATGTGAGTGGCGACTGCAGCTTGACAAGGGCGATGTCCTTCTCTTTGGGGTGCAGGGCATTGTGCTCGGTGACGAAGATCTTGGCCACGGGCAAAGATGGAAAGTGGCTCAGTTTGTTTGAGCCAACCCTCACCTTCCAGTTGGACACATCAAGATACTTCCTAGGGATGGGGATGGCTAGATCAGGCGGGAGCCAATCACACTGAGGCTTTACCTGGGGCTAGGTCTCCAGGTCTGTTGATGCTCTGGGAGATCACAGGATGGGCACAGAAGTAGTGGAGAAGGGCAGTCTAAGGAGCCATCTTCCTGAAGCCAGATTATAAAAGGAGATATGGTTCTTTTCTTCATTAAAAGGGCCCAAGGAAACTTCTACCTGGAGGCCTTGGGAAGAGACTGCCTCATTCCTGGGCCTTGGAGTCCTGCCAGTCTCCCCTCCACCCTTGGTCTTGTCTAGGCTACTTGCATTGTGGTCCGTTGAGCCATGGGCTAATGTTCATTCTTCTCCAGGCCAGGCCCTGCCTGTGCACAGGGAACTTTCCCCAGGAGTGGGCTTAGAGCTCCTGTCAGTCTCAAAAAGGTGAAAAATCCTTGGCTGGACCGAGGTACCTTGAAGGTGACAACAGGGTCTATGTGATGCTCAGGATCTGAAGGGGGGTGGTTCTTGGTACTCACTGGATGCTGAATGAAATGGATGAATGAGAGTAAAGAGGGCCTGAGTGTAACCGTTCCCCAAGGCCTGGCCAGCTCCCTCTCTGCTGGACCAAATGATAATCTATACTTGGTTCAGTTTCTGGACCATAGGTAGTGACCCTGGGAGCCATTTTCTGGAAGAAGACTGGCAAAGAAGAGTCATGTTCTTGGGAGCACAGATGTGTGGGGAGAACTTCTGTAGCAGGAGTAGAATGGGCTCACTGTGGGGTGAGGGCCCTGGGTACCTGAAGCTTTTCACCCAACAGAGTCCAACCTTGGAGATCAGCACTCTCGGCACAGATCCCTAGTACCTAACAAGGACATCGTGGCCAGTGTCTCGTCTTATTGCTGCACCCCAGCAATGGTTTCCAGGGGAGACTGGAGGCCATAGTCAGGAAACAAGCCAGGAGGCTGGCTCCCTCCACGTCCTCTATCCCTCCTGGCCTCCTCATAGCTAGGAGTCTTACCTGAAGCAGTGAGCTGCTGTGAGGATCCAGTTGGGATCCAGGATGCTCCCACCACAGACGTGCTGCCTGTCATACTGGATGCTGACCTGCCACGGCCAGGAATCCGCAGAGGCCTCCACCCCGCCCACCACGCGAGGAGTCTTCAGGCTCCTTCCACATTCTGGACCCGGTGGAGAAAAGGGGAGGAGGGAGAAGTCAGGTTTCTGGGGAGCCCCTCCCCACCAAAAGTCCTGGAGCAGGGCCCTCAGGAATGGTACTGGATGGGGAGAACCCACTCACGCCAGTTCTGAATCATTCACCGGGAGAAAACAAGCATGACGTCACAGGTTTCCCTGAACCCCCCCCCCCCACACTTTGCGTGTGTTTAGGAATTTAGATTTTTGAACATGGGTGTGTCCACTGTGTTTGCAGTTTATCATCTTCAAAACAAACAAGGGTGCAGAGTCATGAATTCTGAAAGCCCTGACCAAACAGAGCAGTCCCTAGATGCTTGCCACTGAGTAAACAAATAGTCACAAGTTACTTTGGTATCAGGAACTTAGATTGAATTTCTAGAAACTGGGTTTCTTCCCTCTGTTAAGGGAGGTTGTCCATTGGCCATCCTGTCTCCTTCTGACCTACCTTTCACATCTGACCTTTGAACTTGAGTTAAAAATCTTCAATGTTAGGGCTGGAGAGATGGCTCAGTGGCTAAGGGTGCCTCAGTTTGGCTCCCAGCACCCCCCAACAGGCAGCTCACAACTGCTTCTAACTCCAGCTCAGGGGATCTGACGCCCTCTACTGGTCTCCACAGGTGTTGCATGCACATGCTCATACCCACCCCATAATTAAAGAAAAATCTAAAAACTAAAAACAAAACAAATCTCCAGTGCCATCTCTTTACCCTGTTCCGTGCCTCTCTGGCCTTGTGAACACTCCATGCCATGATGATACTTCCAAGGGGAAGCTTTCCCACTGTCTCTCTCTTACCTAGCCCTGTTCCTGCCAAACGCTATCTGGTTCAACCCTGCTTTCAACTTGCCCCCTTGCTCACTCACTCAGAGCTTCTTGGTTGGCAAGATGGGGGTCTAGATTCTTCTGGACTGCTTCCCACGGTCTTTAGATAAAGCTCTGTCCAGCTAGTGCCCTGATTGGAAGTCCCTAGAACACTTGGGCTATAGTTTGAGTTTGCCTCCCCAAAGGTGGCAGCTTAGCCCTGAAGTGGTGGTGATTAGGTGGTGTGGTGGGTTCTTTAAGAAGCAGGGCCTAGTGGCCCTTAGGTCATCAGAGTAGCGCCCTCTCCAGGGGGTAAGCAGTTTTCGGGGCTCCTTGAGCTCCTGTGAGAACTTAGGACCGGACAGAGTCCACCCTGAATTGCTGCTGTCTGGTTCCTTCTTCCATCCACCTTCCATGATGATTCACCAGCCAGCGACAGGGCCCCACTTGAGGACAAACCAAGGTGGCTTTCTGGTCTTAGACCTCCAGGTACTAAAACTGTAAGCTAAGTAAAACTCTCCTTTACACTGTTATCCCGCCTCCAATATTTCATTATGGTAATAAAAATCTAATATGGAGCCGGGCGGTGGTGGCGCGCGCCTTTAATCCCAGCACTCGGGAGGCAGAGGCAGGCGGATCTCTGTGAGTTCGAGGCCAGCCTGGGCTACCAAGTGAGTTCCAGGAAAGGCGCAAAGCTACACAGAGAAACCCTGTCTTGAAAAACCAAAAAAAAAAAAAAAAAAAAAAAAAAAATCTAATATGCTCAGGTCATGGGCTGTGAGCAGATGATGGAAGGGAGTTCTTAGCGTCAACTGCTTGAAGAGATGCTAAGCCCAAACAGTGGGGCTTAGAGACCAGGAGAGCCATGAAGATGAAGGCCTTTCCTCTTGCCCATTGGTGGCCTAGGCCCCACACCCTAGGAGATGGGGTGTACTCACCAAGGCAGCTCAGGGAAACCAGGGAAAGGCAGGGCCTGAAAGAGAGACACAGGCTGGAACTCAGCCCTTGCGACACTGCTGATTCAACCTGGTCCCCCAGTACTGGGGAACCCCAGAACCTTCATCATGGGCCTGTGGAGAACTGCATTGATACTCAGTAGGGTTCTATTTGATTCAGCACCCCCATTGCTGTGCCTGCACCCATCACGTATGAAGCCGTGGCCAGTGCGAAGGCAGCCTGGGGCAGGAAGGGAGCAGTACCAGCTGTGGTGGAATACTTAACTATGTGAAAGTGTGTTACATTTGCTTGTGCTGCATTTGTTTATGTCAAGCTGTGTTGCTGTTTCACCTTGCCTGCCCAAGGCACCTGATTGGTCTAATAAAAAGGTGAACGGCCAATAGCTAGTCAGGAGAGGGATAGGCGGGGCTGGTGGGCAGAGAGAATAAATAGGAGAAGAGGTGTGTGTGTGTGTGTGTGTGTGTGTGTGTGTGTGTGTGTGTACACATATGTGTACGTATATGTATGAGAGAGAGAGAGAGAGAGAGAGAGAGAGAGAGAGAGAGAGAGAGAGAGAACAGGAGAACGAAGGAGAAAGAAAGAGAGAGACACCTGGGGCCAGAAGCTAGGCAGCCACCAGCCAGAAGTGAGAATCAGTGAAAGCAAGATATACAGGAAGAAAGGGGGAGAGAGAGAGAGAGAGAGAGAGAGAGAGAGAGAGAGAGAGAGAGAAAGGAAGGAAGGAAGGAAGGAAGGAAAGAAGGAAGGAAGGAAGGAAAGAAAGGTAAAAAACCCTGAGACAAAACATAGATGAAGAGAAACAGGTAAAGTTATAAGAGCTAGTCGGACAAGCCTAAGCTAGGCTGAGCATTCGTAACTAATAGGAAGTCTCCGTGTCGTGATTTGGGAGCGGGTGGGTGGCCTAAAAGAAAGAAGCCTGCTACAATCGGCCACACTGCAGCCCTTTCAAACAGAACAGGATTTTGGTGGAATCACAGATAGTCACTCTACTACCAGCTCTGTCCCTGCCAAGATCTGCTGTGGCAAGCATCTGTCCTGTATCCTGAATGCTAAGAAGACAGCTGCCCTGGGAGCCTCTGCTGCCTCACAGCAGGTTTTGTTTGGATTCAGCTGTGCTCCAACGAGGTGGTGAAGCAAGGGCTGGGGAGCCTTCTTTGGAGCATCAGAAGGTGCTGCTCTGGCCTGAGGATGTGATGGAGAAGGACAAAGTGATGTTTGGGCTCTTGTCTACCAGGCAACTCATTAAGGAACAGTGGAAGGAACAGTCTTGACTGTTTAGGCAGATAGAAGGTCATTGTTCACTCCTCTGCCTTTGAGCAGGACAACACACATTGTATCCAAAAAAAAAAAAAAAAAAAAAAAAAGAGTCAACAGAGAATACCCTCTGAATCCATAACCCTGGATGTTTAATGGGCTGCTTAGCTAGTTCTTCCTGTTGTCTGGCTCGTGTTCCTCTTGCTGCAGCCATGAGCGGCTTTCAGTGGTAGTTGGCTTCTGTAGGTCAGAAGGCTTCTGCTCACTTACCCACTGACGTTCTTCATCTGAAGCTCCTGGCTGTTTCCTGTGACTTGAGCTACAGTGAGATTCTGGTCCGGGCCAATCTCCACGGCTCTGAAAGTGGGTCGGCTGTGTAGGGAGAGCACTGTGAGCTGGGGCAGAGGCTGGAACCCCGAGGGAGGGAGAGCCCCCATTTCCCGGGAGAGAGGGAGGCGGGGCGACACAGGTGGGCTGGGTTAGTGGGCGGAGCTGGCTTTGCTGGGTCACAGGAACATTCCCAAGGCAAGGCAGAGCTCAGCCCAAGACAGGCTGCTGTGGTTTTGCTTTCTTGGGCAGAGACTCCTGGTCCAGAACCCAGGGCGCTGCAGAAAGGCTAGAGATCCGCTTTCCTCACACCCAGCTCTGTCCCTGTCCCCAGCATCTCTTTAGGTTCACATCAGTGGGAGCAAAGAAGCAAAAGGACCCAGATGAACTCCTGTCTTAGCACGGAGGGAACTGGAACATGGATATCTGGTTTTCCAGACAGGGGACCTGGTTTGTCTTCCATAGTGTTTTCAAGACGGGAGAAGCCTGGGTCCGTTTTCTCAGAGGAGTCCAGGTGGAGCTTTCTGAAACTTGAACTGCCCTCTCCCTTCCCCTCTGCTAATCCATGTTTGCCTTCTTTCAAACCCTGGATTTAAATCTTCCTCCTCCAGGAAGCCTTCCCTAACTGCTCTGCTCTGGCCCTTTCTTCACCAAACACACCCCTTCCAAATCGCCCCTCCCGGTACAAGCTTTGCACAGAGCTCTGGGGTCAATCCACATCCCAGGCTGGCTGGTCCACACTCAGGTAGGAATTCGAGCACATTCTGGGATGACCAGAGCCCGTTATCCTCAAGACCTAAGTTCTTGCGTGCTGGCTCTGACGCCATTTTGGTGTACGACCTTGGGCAGGTCACTTTTGTCCTCACACCCAGCTCTGAGTCCTGATTTTTCTCCTCTATAAAATGATGCATGCACCAGGGGTTCTTCCTACACTGGACTACCTATGGTTTTGTGTTCCTAGGTAAGAAAGGCTTCCTTCCAATCCAGGCAAAGGAAAAATTAAGAGACTTGAGCAGAGAGCTTAGTCCAAGGAGAGAGGATGCTGGCGGTAAACATACCCAGGACAGCGATACAGCCCGATGAGTAATTTAATGAACTTTGATATCATATAGCCCCAGAGGCCAGGTAGCTCGGTGCCTCAGTGCTCTCCAGAAAGGCAGAAATTCCGGGAGGCTATCACCTTAAGAACCTCAGGAAACCCCCAGGTTTCATAACGGAGACTCAGCCTGCAGTGTGCAGTCCAGCTGACGCTGCAGTGGAGGAGGGGCTGGCTGCGGCAGAGAGGGACAGCAGGTGCTGGGCATGCCTCCTGCTGTCCTTCCAAAGGAAGGGGAGGGGTGTCCCTTTCGGGGGGGTGGTGGTGTTGGGAGCTCCACTCAGAGGGGAGAGAGCAGAAACTATAACCAAGAACCAGCAGGGACAGAGGCCAGATGAGTTCATTCTGGCTGCCCAAAGCATCTCTTGGACAAAACCTTAAGGCTGCCTTAGGGATCTCTGGAGAGAACTCTGTGATCAACTGGCAATGTCTGTCTAGTAATCATTGTTTCTGTCTTGTCTCTGGGCTCAGTCTCTTAGGGTCCCAAGGAAGTTCAGCTTGCCAGGGAGAGTGGAATCCCTCTTTGCAGCGGAACACCTGGCTCCTGGAGGGATCAATTCTCACTTCTTCCTTCACTGATGAAGCCTTTTGAGTAGAGAGAATTCCCAATCTACAAGCAGACACTATGAGAGCTTGTGGTGTCCAGGATCAGGGATGTGGGCAGATTCTAGCTCTCTACCTCCCAGCTTCTGCCTAAGCAAGCTACTGACTCTTTCAGAACCTACTTGCAACACACATTTAATAATAACTGCGCTTTGAGCTTTCTGCCAAGATCAAATGAATATAAATATATGTGATGCTAATTACCCTTCATGTACCTCCACTCCAGATTTGGACCTGCTCCTACGGTTCACTGAGAGAGCTGGGGCTGCTGCTGCCGGGCCCCCAACAGAATCAGGCGAGTCCTTGCTAATTTTGTTTTCCAGTGCTGGGAATGGAACCCAGGGCTTTGCCTGTGCCAGGCAAGCTCTCTACCACTGAGCCACACCCCCACTCTTCCTTTCTGCTAAATTTTAACCAAGAGGACTTTGCATATGTAAATTAGTGTTATGGTCAGGGACTTTGTACCAAAGGACAAAGGAGCGAGAACTGGGGAGAAAAGAGCTCCATCCTCCTCTAGTGAGATGGGCGTTACTTCCTCTGGCTGAGGTCCGGGGAAGCTGAGGTCCGGGGATTAACCTTCATGCAAGTTGTAAGTGAAAGTGCTGGGGCTCAAACACAGTTCTGTAAGAATCCCATGCCTGTGGTTTTAGGGAAGAGGGAGGAAGAGGGGAAGAGAAAAAGAGAAAGGAAGGGAGGGAGGGAGTGGGGAAGAGAAGGAGGAAGGAAGGAAGGAAGGAAGGAAGGAAGGAAGGAAGGACAGAAGGCAGGCAAAGGAGAGCAGAGGCTGCTGGGGTGAGGTGATAGCCCCCTAGAGCCTTGGTTGGATACCTGTCGTAGCCCATCTGTCTGCAGGCCGTCTCAGCCAGTGCTTCCGTGAAGGTGTCAAAACAGGCAGAGGCCCAGGTCCCCGTGGCCGCATCCAGCACCTGCAGGGTTGATCGGTCCTTGGAGAGGCGGACTGGGAGGGAAGGAGCCTGGGTCAGCTGGAGGGTGGGGCCTCTCTAGACCAGCCCCCCCTCCATTGCTCCCAACCCAGAACTGATGACCTGGTCAACATCAAGTGAAGTTCTTCCAGTTGACCAGAGTCTGATTTGGATGACAGCTAGGGGGAAACCTGACCAGCTGCCTAGAGACAATGATTGACAGCCTCTCTTTTTGCTCGTATAGGTATCAGTTTTGATGAGCAGTGACATCATTGCTCTACCATGGCCCACACAGCTTGCCCAGTCTGGGGAAACATCTCAGCCAGGGACCTGACAGCTTCTGCATGGAAGGTCAGAGAGGGTGTTTAAGTGAAGACTTCTATTAGTGTTAGCGTGGCAGGAGCCCATGGGTATTTGACTATACTAAGTAACAGTCAATATGCAGGAAGTCACTAGCCCTGCTCCCAAAGGGTCTCATTACCTGTCTTCTGGGCTCAGTGTTAGTGGCTCAGTCCAAGCTAGCTGATCCCGATTTTCACACTTGAAACATTTGTTCCTCCAGTGGCCTCCCCTGCCCTGTTCCCTAGCAGGTTTCAGTAAACACAATGAATGGAAGGGTGGCTAGCTGGTTAAGTGACATGGTGACCATGTTTGTAGTCTCACTGAGATATCAAAGAGGAACCAAGCAGGTACAGCCAGCATAGCATTGACTATACTTTCCTGTCCCCTCAGGGCCATTAGTTAACCCTTTCTGAATGTGTGTCCTGTCCAGTGCTGGGACCTAAAGGTAGATGTGCCATGATCTTGCTCCTGGGGACCTTCTCCTGTAGGGCTAGACACTGACTTAGAAGTGGGCAGAGGCCACCACTGAGCATCCTTCTCCCATCACTCCTGCCCTTCAGTCCCTGGACTCACCTGCCACTCCAGGCTTCTCAGGGAAGTTCGTGACACAGTGCTCCTCATCCTCCCCCGAGGCACAGTCAAGGTGGCCATCACACACCTGTCCCCTTGGAATGAAGGTCAGGGGACTTCCACAGATGAAGTAGTGTTTATCCAGAGCCACCTTGACTGGAAGGCACATGAGGGAAAGGCAGAGAGGGCTGGGGTCAAGCGGGCAGAGAGAGGCTGCTTTTTCTAAAAGTCACGTTGGCTGGAGACAGGCAGCCAATTTTAAAAATAAATTATTTATTTATTGTGTGTGGTTGTGTGTCTCTGACTGGAGGTCAGAGGGCAACCTTTGGGGGTTGGTTTCAAGTGTTCTGTTACAACCATAGAAAGCTGCCCAACACAACCACATCAGGTTGGGCCAGCCAATGTCCAGAAGAAATGATTCGGGGTTTTATACATCTACAACCACCCCAGGCTCTCAAGGATCGAGGTGGTGCTTGAACTGTGAATACCCCTTTGTTACTACAATGAGGATCTGCTCAGCTGGAAAACTGGGGTCCTGTGCCAGCCTCTGTGGACTCCTGAGCCTCAGTGTCCAAGTGTAGAATAAAGGGTTAAAGCAGAGACTCTCTGTGTGTCATCAATGGGTGGTATCTGCTGCTAGTGTAAAGGTCCTCCCAGCCCTAAGAATAGGCTCTCCAAAGACCAGCCATACCTGGGTCGTACAGGCACTACATATCTTGGGTCTCGGCTCTGCCTGCTACACGCTTTTGGTTTTAAAATCCAGGTTCTTCACATAAGGAAGTTCATTATTGCTCATGATGCTTAAAGGCATTCCATAGTGTGTGTGGGGGGGACTCAATGGACTTCTTCATGGACACACAGGTTCAAATGATAGAGCCGAGATCCCCACCCCTGCTTCCCAATCTTATCTCCTATTCCCTGCTGTGAGAGCTGTGGTCAGTCCCTGCTTTAACTGTGGGAATCACTGTCACAGAGTGGGCTGCCCCAGATCACACCAGGGCTAATGCCCTGGCTGAAATGAAGACTGAGCTGAGGTGAGCAGAGGGTTCCGTCTGCCTGGCCCTCTTCCCTGGTCTCTCTTGTCCCTTCTCTCTTTACAGGCAGACCTGCTCTCCAACCTGCCAGACAGTAGGGTTGCACAGACACTCTGTTCAGCCCTCCCCACCCTACCCCTCCGCCAGCTGTCATTTTGCAGAAGATGGGAAGGAGGCGGCTGGGGGTGGGCACCTCTGCAACTGCCTGTGTGGGCTGGGAATGGGTGCCACGTGTACAGCAACCATCTGGAAGTGAAGCCATCTGGGAGAACCGGGGGATGCGCTCACCTTCCCCTTTTGCTTAGAAGGCTCCCTTCAAGGCAGGGGTGGATACGTGAGGCATGAGGATTCATTTTTCCCCCCAAAGCCTTGTGCAGATCACTTGCCTATGACTGTGGGGGTGGGAGGATGGGTAAGGGCTGCGGCTTACTGAGGGGGTGAGGGGGGTGAAAGCCGGGTGGGGGCTGTAACTCACTGAGGAAGGCTGCAATCACGATGGCCAACAGGCTCAGCAGCACTGCGATGATGGGGATCCCCACCTTTTTGAAGGTCTCCAGGGGCCTGCGGGGCTTGCGAAAGGCAGTGATGTCTGCAAAGAGAAGGAGACAGAGGAAAGGAGTGTGCAGTCAGCACTCGGAGCCCATCCCTCTCAAGGCCCCTAGTCTGCATCGGGATGCCCTGGGGATGGCTTTGGTTGGTGGGGATTATCCCTGCAGGCAAGGCTGGGATTTAGGAACATGTTCTCACCCACCTCCCCTCCCTTGCCCAGATTTACCTATCTTTCGTAACCACTCCTCAGTTGAGCTGCCACCTCCCCTTGTCTTGCCCTAGCCTGTACAAGAGGATGTCATTCTTGCCTTATCTGACCTTTCCCTGCCCTGGGAGGGGTCCAAGCTCATCAGGCATGTACTTGGGCACCTACCATGATATATATGATATATTATCATTTGTCCTTCCCCGTTCTTGAATATATTTTTAATTGACACATAATTGTATTTATGGGGTATAGTTTAACATTTCAACACATGTATGTAATACATAAGACTTACGTGTGTGTGTGTGTGTGTGTGTGTGTGTGTGTGTGTGTGTGTGTGTGTGTGTTGAGAATATCCAGAATTCTCCCACTGGCTCTTTTAGAACACCAAATGTTGTTGACTGCATTCCCCGCTTGCACCCCTGCACCAACCCTCAGTGCTACAGAAGATTAGAGTTTATTCCTCTTATCCATTTGCTTCTCTGATAATTTTTTTTTTTTTAAAAGCAGGAGATCAAGATCATGTAGCTCAGGCTAGCCTCATGCTCTAGATGTAGACCAGGATGACCTTGAACTTCTGATCCTGCTGGTGCTGGAATTAGAGGCACACACCACCATTGGTTTCTGCAGAGTTGGGGATGGAACCCAGGGCTCTACGCTAGGCAAACGCTCTACCGACTGAGCCACACCCCCAGTCCTCTGCCTTAATTTTTTGCCTCTCCGCACAGTGAGCATGTAGCAGAGGCCTGATAATTACTTGTGAGTAGATGTATCGTGATGTTCCTATCTTCATGTTAGTCCAATACACAGTGAGTCCCCAGCATGGTCCTTGTCTTTAAGGAGATTAGAGTCTGGGGAAGAGGTAAATAGGACACAAATGGCAGACCACCAGGTGAAGGGAAGTATGTGCTGGATGAGAGACACCACCTGGGGATGCTGGGGAGGCTTCCTGAGCAATACAGGAAGAGACAGGGAACAGAGGCTCTGGGCTAGTTGAGACACAGGCATGGAGGGTGTGTGTGTGCTGTGAGTGTCTAATGTCCTGGAGAATGAGGTGCGTCAAAGCCTGTTGGAAGGCAGGACAACAAAGTCATTTTGTGGGACTTGAAAACCACGCTAAGGTTTGGCATTTATCCTGAAAGCAGCGAGGAGCTGTTGAAAGTTTTGAACAAGAAGAGTACGTGACCGGGCTGTTATCTAGTGAGAGCATTCACTCATTATCTGGCAGAAGAGGGCTGGAGTGAGCTTGGGACCAGGGAGTTTTACATGGGAGACTATCCTTGTCTAAAATTTGTAAAACGAACCAACAATTACACATCCATTTCAGATGGTGTCATAGTTTGAATCTGAAACATCACAACAGGCTCATAGGTTTGGATGTTAGGTCCCCAAATCGTGGTACTATTTTGGAAACTTCTAGAAACTTAGGGAGGTAAGTCTTAGCTGGAGGAAGTAGATCCCCAAGGCTGTATCTTTGGGAGTCTATTTTTTTTTTGCCTGCTTTTTATTTCCTTTAGGTAGCCCATTTTCTGTAACATCCTGTGAATTGCTCTGCCACACCCTTTCCCACCATGATGCACTGAAACATTCTGGAACTGTTTCAAAATGAACCCTGTCTCCATGAAGTTGTTTGTATCAGGTATATTGGTCACAGGGGCACAAAAGAATAAATACACATGACTACTGAGGAGATGAAGCATGACAAGGTTGTGAAAAGTCCTGTCGGCTCTGGGTCTTTTCAGGTGCCTTTCAGGCAATGAACTTAGGAGGCATTTTGGGGGGCCTTGATCCCAAGGGGAGCTGGGCACGAAACACAGCAGCTCCAGAAACCTAGAAAGCAGTAGGCGGACTCTCTTGCTCTCACCTCCACATGGCTTATTCCCTCACCTCTTTCTAACCTCTCTTCCACAGCTCCTTCGTGTGAGCCTGTTCTAGAACTTCCCACGTAGCCATCCCACGTTTCCCATCCCCCTTCCTTGCTCGGTTTTCCCCCAAAGCACTTACCTCTGACCTACTTTCCGACATCTTCTGTTTTCTCTCTCCTCCCACCCCTCCCCAAAGTGGAGATGAAGCTGCCATGAAGACTATCTTTTGTGCAGAGCCTGTCCCACAGCAGATGCCCGATGAGTGTCCGTGATGGGAAGGGATCCGTTCTTGGCTCTGTTCTCTTAAGTGCACCCTGTCGGTCCTACCCCCAGCTCTCACTTTATTCTGTCTCAAGCAGTGCTAGGCATATGTCTTCTGCTCATTGGAAGCTGAGGCTGGTGTCTGTCAGAGGCCTGTGCCCCATAAACGACAGTATTAGTGACTGTCAATTAGAAAGCTCAAACTTTGTGCTTCCCTAATGGGGAGTTTTAACTGCACAGTGGCCCCGCAGTGGGGATGTGAATATGATGTGGTATTGCCTGTAAGTTGTTAGGACCTGGCACAAAGCAGGTTATCAATAATGCTAGGTAGTTCTGTTTTTCAAGTTCCCACACTAGCTCTTCAGAATTGTTCTGTTCCTGTGGCCACCAACACATCAGTATTTTGTTCAATTATTCATGCCTGATTTGTTTCTTGGACACCTGCTTCTGGAAACATGAGGTTGATTTGTTTTCTTGGATAGTGAACAATCTCTTGGAAGGAGTCACTTGCCCCGTGTCCTGGCCCAAAGTGTGTCCTGGCTGTTCTCAGGGAAGACCTGCCTCCCTCTTTAGGAAGGGATGTGGTTTCACACCTAGCTCAAGTTCACAGACAGCCTCTCCACTGTGGTTGTTCCTTCTGTCTGTTTGTCCTGCCCATTGCTTCTAGAAAAGCTTCCAGGAAGGTGGCTTTTACCCTGTCCCTTCCCTCTTAAGTGACAATTAGGGGCTCCTCTCACACTGGCTTTTGGACCTCACGACTCTCAACCTTCTAAGCAGTGTGATTAGCCTCGTTCTCTGAGCCAAATGGACTTCACTGCTAGTTCTCAGCCCCTACCCCAGCCCCCAGTCACACGGGCAGGTTGGCTTTCTGGTGTTGACTGACCTGAGTGTTAGTCATCATGACCTCTGACACTCAGGAGCTCAGATTCCTTCTCTCCTCCCTCCCTCCATCCCTCCTTCATCCCCGCTGTTGCTAGTTGGCTTGTCTAGCTGGCCTGGTTGATACAGCCTGGTTTGTTTATACAGCCTGGTTAATACAGCCTGGTTAATACAGCCTGGTTTATATGGCCTGGTTGATACGGCCTGGTTGATACAGCCTGGTTGATACAGCCTAGTCTGTTTATACAGCCTGGTTGATACAACACAGGTCTTTTCTTTCAGCTTCCTTCCCACCAGGTGTTTGGAGCTGGCTCAGCTGCCTTCTGGTTTGGCAGTTCTTGGGTTTGTTCACTGGCTGAGGCACACACAAGGGAGAGCCACGGGAAGCCTGGTACTCTTTGGGGACCTTGTGATCTACTGTTACATTAAACTCTAAAGTACAAAGGAGGCACAGTTTCCACTAGCTGAGTTATTGTTTCTGGTCATTATTAACTTGTGACTCAAATAAGATGTTCACCTGAGGGGGATTGACCCATCGTCTTCCGGATTTGTTCTCATTAATTTGTTCCCTGTTCATTTGTCTTGCTGATGTATAGGCTATCGGGAGTAAGCGTCAGTGATTTAAGAAAATGTAATAGGAGGGGGTAAAACCCTTAAGATTGGGAATTTTCTGTTATTCACTCATTCGTCTCCTTTAATCAGGCATTCACAGCTGTTTCCTTTCCTACAGGGAAACACCAGTGCCCCGCATTCTTGCTAGCATGAACTCCCTGAGGCAGGAGCCTTGG